TTGTTGTTTTCCCCTCCCTTGAATTGTGAGCCGCCCTGAGTCCCTTTCAGGGAAAAGGGCGGCATACAAATAAAGTTAAAATCTAAAAATCTATTGTAAAGCAGGATACTGGAGTAAGTACTGTAATTTAGGAGTCATCTGCAGAAAAGCCAATGCTTAACCAATGTTTAAAACCCATGATTTTGGTGGTTCCTTCCATGCAGGATGCATGATTAGGGACCTGTAGTGAATGCTTGGAAAAACTCAAGTCAGTGCTGGGGAACAGGACCAGCTGTTCCAGTTTAACTAGCTATTTTTATGTAAGGACGACCATTGGACTAAACTAATGAAAGTGGCATTCTTGAATCTCTGGGCAGTAGAAGCAACACAGCTTTGGCTATTAGTAGAAATACCAACAAGTGAATGCAAATATTTACAAAGAATTATTCATATTAAAATAGTGTGTCTGTCCACTCAAAATTAAGTCTTGCTGAGTTTAGGATTGTTGTTTTAATCAATGCATTTTTTTTTAATCTTGGAATTTTATCTGACTCTTAGCACCTTACACAATCCTGTCCCATACACAAATGGCAGAAATGTCTTTTACAACCCATCTTGGCAGAAGAAAAGCATATCCCAGAGCAGTAATAACATTTCCCCCAAACTGCTATTCTCTCACTAAACCAGCTCTCCAATATGACATTCAAATGCATCTCCCCACATTTCATCAGACCGTTTGATCCCATGCTTTATTACTGTATTGCTATAACGCAACAACTTTCAAAACAGTAATATATTGAAATATATATCCAATAGAAGAGAACTTTGTAACTCAAGATTGAATTGTGGAGTTCTTGGTGTTTTCTGAGCTTGGTTATGTGCTTGAAGACATTTCATAACCCAATTAGGTAACATCCTCCATGCAAGTGAGTGCGAATTTTACACTCTGTTTATATGCAGTAATGATCCCTGCCAGTTTTGGTGGAGATGTGTTTTGTCCTTGGTCCATTTGTCTGGTATTAATGTCTGCTTATCTAGGTAGGATGTCTTCTGGTCTTTTTGTTTCCTTCTTATTTTTTATTGTCTCTTTCAGCACAAAAAACCATTGGTTGCCCTCTGACACCACTGGATGACATCGCCAGATCTCGCTGCTTTAGCAGAGTAAGGAAGATACTCAGAGATGATTCACACCCTGGTCAGTGTCTCTTTGCACTTCTACCATCAGGCAGAAGACATCAAAGTATAGCCAGCCAAACGAACAGGTTTAAAGATAGTTTCTATCCTTGGGCTGGGAGACTTTTAAATACAACCACAATCACTCCATGCGCACGCTAGTTTTTTTCTTTCTCTTTCTTTTTTCGTTTCTGTTTTAATTTTGCACCAGTGAGGTTAAAACAAATTTCATTGTATTTAAGTAGAATGACAATAAAGATTATACTTACTTAATAGTGTATAAATATGTTTTATGTCTATGTTTCCACTGATAGTGGATTGTCATGATACCAAACTTCCAGGAATTCCCTAACATTGGGTGTGGCGCCAGTGAGGTGGGATTGGCTTAGTCTAAAGGGCTAACAGTTTCCCAGTTGAAATATAATATACCTGCATATCCTTTTGTCACTATGGTGACCTTTTTTGTGCTTTTAACAAGCAAGCTGATGTGCTGAATCAAACATGTGAACTTTTCCTAATATGGAGATAAGAGGCTTAGAAACAAAACTAGCACAAAGTTGGCAATCTCACCAAGATACTGTGCTATATTATTCTGAAATACTTAAATATATACAATGCTGTACTATATACAGATTCGGTTTAAATAAGCTCAGTTAAAATTGATAAAATTGGCTTAAGTCCTATTGAACAAATATTTTTTCACTTCCATTTTTCTGTGACCTGAGATCTAATTACAGTTTTCAAATTATAGCCAAAATAACACACACACACACACACACACACACACACACAATTCCATCTACAGTAAATAATACAATAATGCAGCAGCAAATTTGTTATTAAGCAGATGCCTTTGAATAAAATAAGCTGCTGTGCATGTCCAAGTATAAGAAGTTCCATTTTTCATCACAATCCTTTGAACACTTATTAAAGCAATATCAATTAATCTACCTTTCAGGAACAGTCCTCAAAGTTACTTTCTAGTGAGTACAAATTTGAACATTCAAGGGATGCTCCTGATCAGGTTTTTAATAAGCTTTGCAAATGGCCTAGCTTCTATATTTTATATTCTATAGTATTAGGATTTAGGAAATAGTAGAACAAGAGAGAGGCAGACAGGAGTTCAGATTGCCTTAATATAATGCCCTTATTTTTGTTACCTGGACCCAGGTCTGCTGGCTGTGCTACTTCCGTATGCTACCTATATGTTACTTAATCCCTTCCAAAGCATGGTGAAGATTCCTTGTGCAAGCATCTTAGCCTCTTTTAGACCTCGTGGCTGTGTTACAAAGCTAAAAATATTGTATTGTATTGCTTGTATTTTTTTAACTTTGGAAAAGAAGAATTTAAATAAATAACTTTAAGAAATTCATCCCAAAACATATTATTAGGACTGCAATTCTAGGACTGCATACGAAAAAGATAAAGAGATCATCAAGTCAATATTTAGGACAGGGAATTTAACCTGAAGCCGCGGCTGGAGTACATGCCCTACGCTATCAGCATTAAACTTCTAATAAAAGTTTAAATAGTTCTAGCAGAATGGGAGACATTTCATCTTTCTTCCTCACTATGCATATCCATCATTTAACTTGTCATAATTTATAAAAGCAAACTTCTCTTGTTTAAGCTTGCGTATATTAAAATCTTCCATTTCCTCCTCCTAAAACAAAGATAAATCATATCTCAGGGCCTGAAAATATCAGCTTTCCATCCTCACAGTACCATAAGCCTTAAACAGTACAGAAGTTAAGCACTAAAACATTCCCTTTCGTTTCTGGTTTCTGAGCCTTGAGGAAATAACACAACCTGTCGTGACTACTGCAAAAATCTAAAGTCCAGCTGATATCAAAAAGATACAACAACACAATAAGAAACGGTATCTCCAGCTCCATCCCTTACATTACACAAAATAAAGAAGTTGAGTGCTTGCAGGGATTCCGTATTGCCATCTATTATAGATGACACAGCTAGCGGGAGGGAATGGAACAGGCAAATCATTAGAACTTAGACCTTTTTCCTAATGTCATCATTTTGGACTCAATCAAAAGAGGTTTCACAAGTTCATTTGCACACTTTGATAAGAGCAACCAAAAACCAGTGCCCCAAGGAGATGCCAAGAATGCTACCTACCAATAGAAACTTGCACATCAAAGATAAGGAATCACATTTTGCTACCTGATCTGCCACATCCATTCAAAAGCAAGTAGGCCTGGGAGATGCTTTTAGACAAAGGAGCCTGATCCCCATTCATAGGCCCAACCACAATCTGTTTCTACCCAGCGATCCATTAACTGATGACATTAACTTTCAATACATCCATGTTGCAGGTTAGAAAAAATATTCTTATATAATGGACTGGATGTAAAAGAAATTGGATGGTAGGGGGAGAAAATGAACGGGCTTAAATGAATACTAGAAAGCTCTAAATTATGGCATCTACCAATGATCTGATTCTATTCCCCCACCCATCTGTGCAGCAAAAGACCCCCAAGGCATACAGTTCATTAACTGATCATTGCCAACACCACCTATATAAAATTACTATGAAATGGAGGGGGGGGGGGAAGCAAGGCATACAGTTCATTAACTGATCATTGCCAACATCACCTATATTACTATGAAATAGAGGGGGGGGGAGCAAACTGTTTTTATTACACAGATTTCTCCATATTTGCTTTTTGCCTTGATCTCATGCACTACAGCATTGTACGTTTCAGTACAGATATATTCTTAAATTGGGTTTCAAAGGGGGAAGGCGTGTACCCCAAATGGAGAATTCCTGCAGGTGGTTGATGAAACAAGGCTCACACCACAAAGTCCTCCGTGGCCCAGCTTGGCTTTCTTGGCACCAGGCGGGGGCAGCATGGCAGTTTAAAGACTCTTCCGACTAAGGAAACCCCACCCCATCAGACCCTTCCGAAATAGGGTGAACTATTCAATCCAGGTTAAGGAACCTAGTGATAATGCCACCTCCAAAGCGAGACAGAGAGACAAGAGACAAGCTGGTCCTCACTTAGTCCTTCCTTCCACCCCAATAAATGTGCATCTCCCCCAGGGGGGCAATTATTGGGGGCAAAAGGAAGAGCTGTTTTGGGGAAGAGATAAGGAGAAGATATCTCAGGAGTGACAGAAGGCTGGGCAGCATTGGTAAAGAGGGTGTCAACGCCTAGTAAATTATCCCTCCCTCCCCCCCCACACCCACCCCATTCATAAAACTCTGCCTCTGGTTCAGTCCTCTCTCCCCCTCCACACCCCGCTCCAGGTTGAGATGCCATACCACCCCACCCCCGCGCCTGGCCCCGGCTTACTTAAGCATGGCCTCCTCTTTCTCTTCCTCTTCTTTCTGGCGGTCCATCACAGCCATAATGATGTTCCGCTCCTCTTCTGTCAGGTGGCTCAGGTCGGGCAGCTCCTGCATGGGGGGAGGCACGGCGGGGGGCCGAGGCCCGCGGGGCCCCAGCGAAGAAAAAGGAGAAGGAGAAGGAGACGAGGACATGTTTGGCAAGAGAGAGAGAGAGAGAGAGAGAGAGCTTTGCCCGGTTCCCCCTTCGACACCTCTGTACCTTTGGGCAAGGCGAACCCAATCACGCCTCGGCTCGCCGCCGCCTCTTCCTCCTCCTCCTCCTCCTCTTCTTCTTCGTCTTCCTCCTCCTCCTCCTCCTTCTCCCTTTACACTGGAGTCCTCTGTTCATCGGCGGCAGCAAGGAGCTCTTGGGAAGCGGCAGGAGAGGAGGCGGAGACCCGGGCGTTCATGGTTGCTCCGTCCATACAAGCCCCGGCGGCGGCGGCGGCGGCTTGCTGCTTGTTGTTGCTGCTGCTGCTGTTCCCGCTCCCGCTCGTCCTTCGGTCGGCCGGGTCTCAGGAAGATCGGGAGATGCCCCGCAGCCTCTTGCAGCCCATCCTCCGAGGCTGGGAGAGGAAGGGAAGGCGCGGGCAGAGGCGGCGGCAGCTCGACAGGCTGTGTGCACCGTCAGGGCTGGAGGGAAAGGGCGGATGCTGCTGCTGCTGTTCCCGCTCCCGCTCGTCCTTCGGTCGGCCGGGTCTCAGGAAGATCGGGAGATGCCCCGCAGCCTCTTGCAGCCCATCCTCCGAGGCTGGGAGAGGAAGGGAAGGCGCGGGCAGAGGCGGCGGCAGCTCGACAGGCTGTGTGCACCGTCAGGGCTGGAGGGAAAGGGCGGATGCTGCTGCTGCTGCTTCGCTGCCGCCGCTGCTGCCTCCGCCTGCTGTTAAATGCTCTACTGCTGCTAGCTACCGGGGAGGGAGGGAGTTTAGTGCCAGTTAGGCGGAGTCCAAACCGCTTCGCTCCTGGGTAACGCCGAGGTCTGCCTTGCCGAGACAATNGTCCAGGGTCCTCCACATCCTCCAGAGCCGACTCAGAGGGCCCCTCGCTGTCGGACTCTGGTGGCAGCTCCAACGGCTCCTGCTGGGCCACAACACTCAACCATAAAATTATTTTATGTTTTCTGTATTTTTTCAAAAATATGTGTTTTCCGATGGCCTTAGACGACTCCTGTGGGGTCCCGACCCACAGGTTGAGAACCACTGGTCTAAACCTACCCATTTTAGAGCAATGGAAGAAAATGCGGATCTTTCTGCATTTAAGCCCAGGTGTCCATTCATTGGATCAGTGGAATGTTGAGATTGGCTTTTCAAGTGCAAAGGCTAAATTAATTGCCTGGATATTTACAGATCTAAGCAGATATGATCATTTGGGAATCTGATATTCTGAATGTGCAGGCACACGCAGAGCGAGCTAGCAGAGAATCAAAATGAGTCGAGGTAGAGAATTGAAAGTTTTTTGCTCCATCCTTGTCATTCCATTGTCTGTCTGTAGATGTCCTCACTTTCCCTATTTCTAAAGCCAGGACCTGCTCATTTTCACAAGGAAAATCAAAGACGAAAACTTGTTGATAATATTAAATGCCTAGAACCTCCGCTAGAGGTTCCTCCAAATCCCTGAGAACCCCCAGCAGCCCACCCCTGTTTGAGTTCCTATATATATATATATATATGCGAAAAAATCAGGTGGAACAACGGCTGATGACCTCTTTCTATCGGTCCCCCATAGAAAGTGCCCTCACATATTGTGTTACAGTATGGTATGCTGGTTTAACAGCTGGGGACAGGAAGGCATTACAGAGAGTGATCAATTCGGCACAAGAAACCATCGGCTGCCCTCTTAACACCTCTGGATGACATCGCCAGGTCTCGCTGCTTTAGTAGAGTAAGGAAGATACTCAGAGATGATTCACACCCTGGTCAGTGTCTCTCTCTGCACTTCCACCATCAGGCAGAAGGCATCAAAGCATAGCCAGCCGAACACACAGGTTTAAAGATAGTTTCTATCCTTGGGCTGTGAGACTTTTAAATGCAACCACAATCACTCCATGCGCACGCTAGGTTTTTTCTTTCTTTCTTTCTTTCTTTCTTTCTTTCTTTCTTTCTTTCTTTCTTTCTTTCTT